AGTATTAAAATATATTGAGATATATGTTGAAGTTGATGTTGGACAATCTTCATCTTTACCGGTGCATACAACCACTACTGCACACTGTACCGGTCAAGAAGATACAGTTGTACGATCTTCTGCACCTCCTCAGGTAGCATTGGATGAGGATGAAGAGGATGAAGACGAGGACTATGTGGACAGCGAAGATGAGGGAGAACCTGAAAGTGCTATTCCAGAAGGTGATTCGTCAGACACTGACGTGGACGGTAATTTTGAGGCTGACATGAGCGCCGTAAGTCTCGGTACCCCAGCCTTGTCACCACTTCATGTCGACCCAGTCAGTAGTGGTAAGTTATTAAATTTGAACATTTGCTTTAGACAATTTATTATTTGTGGTGGTATTCATTCAGACAAATGAGAGTTGATCTTTAGATGCAGGGTCTGAGGAGCCATTCTGGAATGAAAGCCAATATTATTCATTCATTAACTGGGCGCACCCTAATGACGAGTTGGAGATCCTATATGGCGATGATGACTTGCACGGAGGTTGGAAGTTAGGAGATCCGTTATTTGTGCAACAAGAATTTGGGTCCAAACCAGAATTGCAACATGCTGTGAAGATACATTGTATGAAGGGGCGCAGGACAGCCATAGTTGAAAAAAGCGACGAGTCAAGATTTGTTATGAAGTGTAAAAACCATGCTGACGAATGTCTACCATACCCATTTACCCCTTCCCCGAGTCAGTTAAGGTTATTGTATTACACATCAATTACCAAGATGCAAACAAAATGGATTGAACAGCACCTGCTGCTGCATCTGCAACTGGTCTACCCGGGTAACTCGTAATGATATACCCGAGTACATCCTACCCGGGTAGACCAGTTCGTGGTACCCGGGTAGACCAGTTGCAGATGCTGTTGCAGAAGCTGTTTTGGCAATTTTTGTTGCATTTTGGTAATTGTTGTGCAATACCTACATACGGTATGACTTGGGGTGGATTGATTTCGTAGAAATAGGATGCAGTAATCAAGATGTGCGCCAATGAAAGTTGAACATGAATATTAAAGTACTTTGGGTTGAATTGATTTCCAAATTAATTATGACAATATTAATGCAAGGTCCCATACTAATGCATAGAACCAACAAGTCTGAACGTGCGCAAAACGAAAATTTCATTCATTCAAATTTTGAACATCCAGTACAAAAACATCCATGCAATGTAGGTAAAGTTCCTAAATGTACCAAAATGACTACATTACATCAAACTAAATCAATGATATGAAACCCTATGGACACACTAATCCGATGGCGTGTCCTCCCCATTCTCTTCATCCGATTGTGTGTCATCCCCATTGTCATCATCCTCCTCCTCCTCCTCCTGAGTATGGGCACCCTCGCCAATTAAACCCTCCAAGCGTGAAACCCTTGTGTCCAACCGTGCAACCCTTGTGTCCATCTGGTTTCGCCACTTGCTCGTGCTCTGTCTATATCCTCTAAAGTCAGTAGTCAGATCATATAAGGATGCCATGACATGATCAAGTGTCCATCCACCCTCAGGAGGAGCTGGTGGTCGCCGACTGCCGGTGGGACGTGTCGGTCTGACATCAACCTCAGCAACGCCATCATCATCGTCATCATCATCAAGGCCTACATCATAAACCATGAAAAACAAACTTCAATACCACATTAAAAATTAAACAACACAAAATTGCATAAACTCATAAAGACCAACACATCACCTGCAGGTGCATCCTCCATCTCAGCATCGTGGTGGAATGGGATCTCAGGTGGTTCTGGTGCCTTCTTCCACGTCCAGATACCCGCTCTGTTCGGTAGGATCCCACACTGCTTCAGGAGCCTCTCACCAAATATAGCATTCCAGCCTCTGGCGGTCTTCAAGGTCTCTGTTGCCGTAGGCACTCCAAATCTATGCAGAATCTTCTGCACCAGAAATGCAAAAGGCAATTCAGCCTTCTTTGACTTGGCTGCCTTCCACATCAGTATGCATATGTAATGCCTCCAGTTCACCTGCTGACTGTGAAGGAGGGCCCACAGGATGACAAAGTCCCCTTCCAGCACCTTTGAGTGATTATGCGGGCGCTGGAAAATAATATGTGTCACCACATAATGAAGAATGCGAGCAGAAACTGACAAGTTGCTAACAGGATAATGAGCAAAATGACCGGGCTCAGCGTCTGCCCTCCTAGTCTCTGTAACAATGGTCTCCCGGTTATAATCACCAAATATATGATGGCTGTCTCCATCATATAGTGCTGCTCCTGTGACACCATCAAAATCGAACCCCAGTAGCTCCGTCCAGATAGGAGCAGTCATGATGATATCAATCCCGCAGACACGGGAAGTCAGCTCGCCTTGCGAGTAGCCAAGGTTCTGGTAGAAGGCTCTTACCATAACCTCCGAGTATGGGCACCGCATCTCCGCCAGGTGAAGTAAATGTGTCTGCTCAAGAAGCGGCACAATGTCAAAACGCTCTAGGTTGAAGAATGCCGAATCCAGTGATTTCGGTTCGCAGATCTTCCGGGTCATGAAAAACTTCACGAACTTCTCGTGTGAAGGAATGTCATCCTCAAACAAATATCCGAACGTCAAGTCCGGAGCCTGACTCGAAGCAGCCTGGGGCTGAGAGGATGACGACCCATCGTGACGACTCTTGGTTCTTCTCTCGGAATGGGTCACTTGCAGCTTTGAAACGCGTCGAGAGGTCATTGTGTCACACTATTAAACTGAAAAAATAACCAAAATCAGAAATTAGATACATGTTAGGGTTAGGGTTAGATTCAGGGTTAGGGTTAGGGTAAGCGTATGACATACAAATTGATAAAATAATTCGGACATAATCAAATGATATAAACGAAAATACAATGAATCAGAACAGAAATCATAACATAATTGAAAAAACTGAAAAAAAAAAATCACCTTTGATCGATTTCAATCGGTAGAAGGCAGAGAGGTTGCAAGGTCCGCGAATGATGATCACAAACAAGACGAATTAGTGCAAGATTATGCCTGAAATCGCTCAAGATGACACTCCTCCAGCAGCTCTACTCGGGTACCTCTTTTGTGGGTTTTCGAAATGGGGCTGCTGGGGTATTTTAAAACCCTACCGTCGCGATTTACCCGGGTACACTGATCCTTACCCGGGTAAATAATTCAAACATTTTTCCAGATTCAAGAACTCTACCCGGGTACACCCCTACATACTCGGGTAGATAAAAAGTTTCAAAATTTACCCGGGTAGGTAATGGTGTACCCGGGTAGGCTTCGTGATCAACGGTCAAACAGGGGCAGATTGGTGTTATGTTTGTTGGGGAGGGTAAATTTTCGAAATAGTTTTGAATGAAGGGCAATTTGGTAATTAATTATTAATTAAGGGGCATAAGGGTCAAAAAGCCCTTATCATATACTATTCACCGAACATGCCCTAACTAAAGGTAATTGGAAGATGTAATATTTAGGGATTAATTGTATTTCATAGACAATTGGTTGTTATATGCTGTTACTCTTACCATTTTTTTTTTTTTTGTATCTTTATGATTAATATCTTAGTACAGTGTTTTGTATACTAACTTAATCTTCAAGAATTTTAGAATATATAATGACTAAAGATATAAAATCAAGAATTACAATGCTTTGTAATTCTATGTAAAATATCTAAAAGAAATAAAGATAAAAGTGATACAGACTCTCTTAGAATAAGTACAATAGACTATATAGTAGAGGACGCCCTAATTTTGTTTTGAGCACGGCCAAGTATATGCCTCTCAGGTTAGATTCCTTAAAGATTGGGTATAGTTAAACCTTATTATTTAAGTAATTAATTATTTTTGTTTCTTTTGTAAATAAATAAATTTAGTGCATAACATTATTTTGCATGAGAAGGTATTTTTCACATAAATGTGACTGGAAATGTTATTGTTCAAAAACTCTTAATGTTATTGGGAATATTTCTCACATGCGTATTTTATTTGTTGTCTAATATATCCAAATTAGTATAGATGGATTGGGTTTACTTGTGTGAAACCGGCTGGGAAATGTTGATATTGATATACGAGTACCATACTGAGGCTCACCTACACCTCTATATTTTCTTAGACATGCATATGAAGATTTTTGTAGGATTTTTGCTCCTATCTTTTGAATGTTGAATGTAAATATTGACGTAGGAGTATGAAAAACCCTCATATTTTGTGGTGCTTATTTACCTTAGACTTGCGAGCCACTTTTGTTAACCGTAGAGGACGAGGAGTAGATAGTCCTTTGGCACATGGGTTGACTGTACTACCAGTTGAAAATCCTAGTGCCTGAAGTCCAGACCCGCTAAGGTAGGAGGGCTATGATTATAATAGTAGGCCCCTAGCAAGCTTCCAGCAGCAGAAATACATGAATAAATCAAATCAACACCCGAATGAAAGAAATTCAGAGGCTATGCTCGTATGGGACTGTACAGTTGAGGATGGGAATTAAATGTACTACATATACTAATAAAATGCATCTACTTTTTGATAGCACATAACTTAAGAACTCCATGGCTAAATATGCTTGACTTGGAACAATTCTGAAATTGATGACTTCCTAAGAAGTTTCACACCAAGTGTTGAGCGCAGACAAAACAAACTAAGAAGTCTTATATTAATTTGTGGGGACGGTCACTGATCCTACAGAGTAAAAGTTAATTATACCCAACTTTACCCTTATATTTTTTGCAAAAGGACGATTGCAGAGAAGCTGGTAAATGCACACAGAAAAAAGGGATAAAGATGGGTATAACCCAACTTTACTCTCATATTTTTGCAAAAGAACGATTGCTCAGAAGCTGGTAAATGCAAACAGAAAAAAGGGATAAAGACGCAGCATGCGCCATATGATCACTAGCTTCTAGAACAGAATATTTGCGATTTAAGAACCGAAATCAGACCCACAATGTACTAAAAACAGAAGATCATGGTTAGAGAAAAAAGGGCATCATTTTTGTAATCTTTTCCACACTATGGATCGTACTATGTGGACATTGTACCATATAAATGAATTGACACCTGCTAATAAGAAACATAGGTATCTTTTGTTGCAAAATTCTCCAGGCAATTAAGGATTGTGACACTATGGATGGTACTATGGTGACATTTCAAGCTTACAACAATTATCAATGTTGCAATGCTTCCTTCTAAACATAGTCAATAATGACAAAGTATACTTTACAAAAAGAAAGAAAAAAGATTCCTGACAATTTACAATCGGTAGGTAATCTTCGATGATTGGCACTGGCAGCTTTCAGTAGCGAGTTCCAGTCCAGCTAAAGGAAATTACTTTGACTGAAAAGCAGCAACACCTAAATCATCATTTATAACAGCAAAGCGTATCAGTTTTTTTTGTCACCATCAACGTTACAAGGCCAGATCAAGTTGGAAATCACAAGGAAGAATGTTACTACTTTCAAGAATCACATATATAAGCGATAGTGTGACATAATGTCACAGAATTGCACTAAAAAATCATCCTACAACCAATGGAGCACATAACAACCGAAACTGAGAAGTACAGAGGGACCCTCATGCACACAAATCATAAGTAGTTAAATGAAATTTCTCTTCCAAGTTATCCCAATCTAAAACCAAGCCTGCAGCGTACTAATTGATTTTTTTAGTTTTCACCTACATCAGGCATTCAATTTTAGATTCATCACAGTTCACATAACTTTCCAACGCTATTGATATCATGACATGAATAAGCCTAAAGTGAATTATAAATCTAACTGCACTTTCATTCACCAAGTTGTTGGAAAATCAATAATCCACTAGTGACTTTGCGTTTTGCAAAAGGTAAACGGAAATAAAGAATCAATAAGATGAGGGCATTACACACTGAACTCTATTTAACTATACATATCACACATAGATCACATGGTAGTTTGCCACTAAATTCATTCCAGCCCAAGTAAACTATTAGCATACTAATAAAACTCATTTATATACCCAATAGTGAAGGGAGAACCATGACCAATCTAAATAAAATGTAAACGATGGTTTTCCATTATGTCTCATTTCACGTTAGTGAGAACTAAGTTTTCAATAGTACTTACTAATGCTATTGGGCCCTACCAAACACCAAACTCCAGTAAAACCATTTTAGAGGAAGGTCTTTTTTAACGGTTTTTTCTTAATGTTTCTTAGATCTTTCTCTAACCCATTTAGTTTGAATGGGCTTTTAAAAAAAAAGACTTTTCATGGCTTGCTTTTTTTTAGAATGACTTTTTTTAAAAGTTAAAGTTATTTTACATATAGATAGAATATATAAAAAGTACTTTTAAATAAATAAATAAAAGTTATTTGGATAGTAAGCAGTTTTTATATATAAAATTACTAAAAAGAATACGTGAGTGATGGTAGTGGGGTGGAATAATTGGAGTAGAGTTGGAATAAAATTGAATTTTCAAAAAACTATTTGACTTTTGATTTTTGTCTTTTTCAAAAGCAAGAAATCCTCCTGACTTCTAAAAGAAACACTATTTAAAATCTTTTTTTTTTTAAATTCTGCTTATTTTAAAAGTCCGCAAATGGGCTTTTTTTCTCTCCAAAAGCTAATTTTTCCAGAAAAAGAAAAGCACTTCTGAGAAGAAGTCTATTTGGATACCAGCTTTTTAAAAAATAACCAGTCATAAAAAAAAGCCAAAAACCTGCTTTTTTTTAAAGCCAAAAATTTTAACTTCTAAAAAAATAAAAGTCAAAAGTCAAATTTTTTTTTTTCAAAAACCAAATAATTTTTTAAAAATCTAAATAGCTCTAACTTTTGTAAGAATCACTTCTAAAACAAGACATAAAAAGTGCTTTTTTTGGAAGGCAATCCAAATGGGCTAGTGCCGGAAGGTCAAGGAAGTTGGTGACCTGATGACAGGGGAGCCGGCGACCGAAGCCCCGGTGAACGGCGGCTAGAATGACCCAAAAGGACATTTAAAAAAAAAACTTTAAAAAAGAAAAAGGTCATCCAAACGCACTCTTAATTGCACTATCTTCCATTTGGTCAGCATTTCTCACCGGAATTCGTCTTATTGTGACATGATCAAATCACATTAGATGAGTTTCCATCATGTCATCAATAGGAGCTAGCTACACTGCGGAGCCAACTTTTTAGAGGCTACATTTTCAACCATAAGCTAAATATTTCTCAACCATTTCAAGGAGTTGCACTTTGGTAAATAAACCAGAATTCCATGCAAGTGTAAAGGCAAAAATCACTTACATCCAGAAAATTCCCTGTAAGCTACAGCTCACTATAATTGCGCCACACTGCACGAAATTCTTCACGGAATGTGTTTAGCCGTGCTTTCAAGTTAGGTGTTCTAAAGCTCGCATGCAGGATGGTAGCTGAAAGGAGCAAGAGAGTAATTGACTTAAAAGCATGAACATGATTGCTAATACATTAAATAGTACAATGTCTCAGTATGAGATGTACCAAGAAGACCAATAGCAAATGCCCATAAAACAGTTAGGAGACCAGCAGAAACAAACCAAAGGAAGAAACATGCTGCAAAAGAGAGGGTAGAAATGTTTGAGATGCTCACATAAGAAAAGTGAAAGAGCAAGGATGGACAGAATTCCCCTGCATATTATTAATTAAAGAAAAATGATCCCTATTTCAAAGACTTCAATTACCTGAAGAAGATATCAAGACAAACACCCAACGAGGCTGACCACATATATAAATTGCTCTCTTGGCTGATGGACGCCCACGAATAACAGGCCTGGAATTTGAATAATTATTAAAGATACAGTAAGATCTTAAGCCTTACAAAAACTATAACAACCAAACATACTCACGTAAGAGGAGGTCTCATCTTCGCTGCTAAATGTGGTGAGAATTTCCTAACTGTTCGTGTCACCTTTTCACTAAACGTACCTGCAAAGCTGCCAAAAAAATTATGAATCAAGAAATATCAAAGGGTAGCCACTTTCACTATTGTAGCAGAACTGGGGCAGACTACACTTAAACTGTACAAATGGGGAACCAAATGAAGAATGTCAGGTAGCAACATTATTTTTGGAAAAAAATGCATAAATGGTTCAAGCAAGCAAAAACCATGGTACCAAACATTTTGAGAAGAGAAATCATGAAAAATTATTAATACTTCTTTTTGGATGAAAACATGATTCAACTTCTTTAGATATTATAACTCAATAATAACTTCGTATATGGTGAAAACTTAAATATGATTTATGTAGTCAAGCATAAAACTTAGTGATGAAGCTCGATACTTGTCAAGAGAACCAGATTGCCAAGTCCTCATTTAACAAAGATTTGTCTACCATGATACAACCCTATATATAAATTGTTTGAGCAAAGCAATATGGACAAAATCCAAATCCAAAAAATTACAATTTACAAATAAAAAGAAAAAAATCAGCATTATGACTTAAAGAATGATCTAATGCTTCACGTTAACATCCAAATATAATCGAATATTGAATATGAGATCCAAGATCCAATCCTCAACGACATAAAGTCATAACTCATTAGGTATGTTTACCTGTTTTTTTCCCTTAACACCCTGGTAAGGACTCCCTTCCAAACACAATTAAAAGAACAAGAACAAGATTTCAATGAATCAAATTGTATTTCTGATAATACTCCAAACAGTACAATTGGTTACAAAAGTACTACAATACAGAGAAAATAGCTTGGTACAATGAGTTGACACATAGAAATATGGAGGAAAGATTACAAGGATACAGAGAAACGAACAAAGAAAGAATTGTATAGAAAACACGGAGGGGCTCAACTCCATCCCAAGTCCCTGGTCTGACTAAGGTTTCCCATATGCCTCCCCTCAGCCTTTCGCATTCCTATTTAACCCATTCCCCCTCACCACCCATTGTGTTATAGTTAGTTACAGCAGTTGTAACTGGTTGTCTAAGTCAGCATTGGGGATCCACCTTCTCCTATATTTTTCCCTCTTATAAACCTTCAAGGGCTGAACCACATCAAAACTCCCCCCTTTTAAGCATCTTCTCCTCAAGGTGCAGTTCAGTCAACAAAGATCCTCCTCCTGGATCCCACTATTTGAATTGTAGGACTGCACATACACACCAATCCTGACAACTTCCACCTGAATCCCACTGTTCTATTTCAACTGCTGCCCCAGACACATTAGGCACATTAGGCTTAACCTCTGCTGTAACAATTTGCATGCTATTGATGGACTGGTATAGAACTCCTCTTGAAATACCTTCCTCCATTATGTATGAGGCAATGCATTCAACAGTTATTTTTTGTATTTAATCACCATTTTCCAGCACAAGAAGAAACTTTAACGCACCAAATCTATTTGCATTTTTCTCTACCCACTCAATGACCTTTAAAGTAGCTTCTGTGCTAGATAAGCCATTAATGTCAATCCCCACCACTGTATTTGATGAACTAACAATAATACCTTCGTCAGAAACAACCTTTCTAGACTCGTGGATACTTTTATCATCCCATATCACAACCCAGCGAACAAAAGCATCATATTTCAAGGCAGATTCAAAATGACGAGAATCATATGCAGTCACAACCATGAATGCTTCCATTCCATATTTGTGTGGCACATCATTGTGCACCCTATATTGTTCGTGGTTTATTTTGAAGTTACGTCTTGAAAGAAGTCAACAACACCATCTATTTCAAAAAGATTTAAAACCCATAAATTCACAAAAACCAAAAACATTTTCACAAGATCTTTGATTGATAGTTTCTTCATCGGTGATAAGAATAATGTCACTTAAAAATTCACCTGGCTCCAAAGCTGTCTGAAATAGAGAATTCTCTACGACCAGACTTGCCTCTTGGCCAACAATTGCAATTATCTTGAAGTAGATATCAATCTTCGCATGTCTCTTTTCTAGACAACACAGATAGCAAACCACATATCGTTGAAAAATAAAAATTTCCTTTCGAAGAGGCTGGTTTAACTTGTCTATACTAGACGTACACCGTTTCTTTGCATCGTGGCAGACTAGTTGCTCCTTGGTGAAGTAGACGGGTCGATTTGCAAAGCCGCATATTGAAACATTAACAAGCAGATCCTCCCCGTCTTTAACAGTGGCTAGTACGTCAAAGTTTGGTCACGCAAAGGTTGGCGCGATTGAGATTGCAGGTGCAAAGATCGACCATTGTTAAGACCTACGCCCATTATGTTGATATTGCTTAGGGTCTTTCAATCCTCCTAGTCCAAATGCACCATTGGACTCACAAGCCCAATACTTCAGGAAGGTAGAATATGAGGCATTATTATTTCCAAATTGGTCTAGGGATGGTTTAGGGTTAATCAATGTTGTTAAGATTGAGATCCTACATAGGATTGAAAGGGGTGGTAGGGATCGTAAATCGTTGGATCGACACAGATCGTAAGATCGTACTACTTAAGATGTACAATTATAAATAATATAAATATATATATATATATATAATAACAAAAAAAATAATATTTAACTGGAAAAAAATGTAAATTTAAATAATAATAAAGAATAGCAAGGATAAGATTCCAAACTTGTGAACAATGGACATCTGAAACGTTGGTTTCCTCTCTCTGTTTCTATCTTATGTCTCTATCCTTATGGGCTCATTGAAAAGATGATTCTCTCTCTTTCTTCCGTGGTTTGCCCTTTTCTGGAGTTGGTCTTCTCTTTCTCCCTCTCTTCTATTTTTTGGGTAATTTTGCAAAACATTTTAGGCAGAAAGATCGCACGCAAGCAGCAGAGAAGGTTGTTGGCAGAAAAGGATTTAGGTTTTTTTGGGTTTTTCTTCCTGTTCAAAACTTGATGGAATGATTGATTCCACGATGTTTGTCATGGCCCTGACCGGTAAACCAGATCTTAACGGAGGTAGACCAGGTCTTGTAAGTGGCAGATCCGGTCAATTTCAGAGTTGTGATAGATGGAATAGCACTTGAAATGATGCCGGAAGGATGTTTACTGGTTCCTTCCATCAGAAACAGCAATCAGACGACAAAAAAAAAAGGTAAAAGTCACGCGAAAAGGAAACAAAGTAGCAACTTTTGCACTGGAAACCCCCGAACGGAAGAGACCCACAACGAACGGACACCGGATCTGGAAGGAGGAGGCAGAGGCGAGCCTGTCTGCCTTGGTTTGGCCGGAAAAGGTAGCCGGAACAGTGCACACGCGCCGGAGAGAGGTGGCGCGTGAGGCCCACGCGCAGACGGCTGTGGTGGCGCGTGCCGCGGCCGTTTGAGACGGGTCTTGGACAGAAACGGTCGCCGGCGTGAGGGGAGCCTAATCGCGTGGTTTCTCGCCGGAAAGGTGGCCGGAACAGTGATGAACAGTGTTTCTGGCGATGTGAACAGTGTTTTCCGGTCAAATAATGAAGGAGGATGACGATCCGAGATCGAAAAAGGGTCTAACAATGTTCGGAGGGTTGAAAAAGGTTGCCGGTATGATGCACGGCCGTAACAGGGTTTCCCGGTATGATGCACGGCGGTAAAAGGGTTTGCCGGTATGATGCACGGCAGTAAATAAGAAAGGAAAATATATATATGCGGAAGCAGAGCCCTCGGATCGAGAGCTCTGATACCAAGTTGAATCTGAATATTATTGTATATTCAAGTGTGTATAACTGTACAAGAAGGCTCTCTATTTATAGAGACTAAAAGACCTAATGGGCTAAGCCCACAATCTAGACTAATCTAATAATAATAGACTAATATTATTTCTAACACAACCAATGTGGGACTATATATCTCAACACGCCCCCTTACACGAGAGCCCATTGGGCTTAAAGAGTGGACAATGCAACAGGCCCAGCCTACCTGTGCTAAGAAACGCCACAAGAGAAAGTGGGGGGCGGCGAGGCTCTGATACCATGTAATGAACCTTGGGATACACCACCCCAAAAGCTAGCTCAAAGAGTGGGAGTGGCCAAGATCTTATAAACTCCACATTAGTTGCACATTATGTGCAACTAATGTGGGACTATATATCTCAACACACGATCCCACGAGTTACGCGGCGATCCTAGAGATCTTGTGTTCAATCCGATCTCACTTGCGATTCAGCTCGAAACCTGTTGAAAAATCTTAGGATCTTGCGATCCTACGAGGAAAATCGAGAGTTTAACAATCATGGGGTTAATAATAAGTTGGACCAGGTCTAGAGGCTGACCCAACCCCATCTTGGACCCAATTAGATCCCACAATGCCTCTAGGGTTCTACCCTCTTGATCCACCTTCCTATTCCATGGCTACAACGCGACGACTTCTCCTCCCTCACATGGAGCTTCGAGTCTGGTGGTTCCAGTAAAGGTGGTGGGTTGATCACCATCAATAGTGACTGTGGTGATGCCAATTCACGGACCATTTTTCTGGGTTTCTAATTCCTTCTTTGCAACCATATGCTTCATCCCTTACATTAAAATTTTTCCCGCGATCTTTGTTCCTTTGTTTTCTTCCATAGCTTCCATCTCATCACTCTCTTTTACATCAATCGCAGCCTTCTCCTTTTGCTTTTCCTGCACACGTGGCATCTCCTCTTTCACAGTCTGTACTTCTAGTTTCAAAAATTCCAATGCCTCTTCCTACTAAGATGTGTTCGAGCCAATAACTTAGTGATTTGTGTATTGTATGTATGATTAATCACATTGTCACATTTTGCCACAGGTTGCTTGTGGTGGTTTCATTGTGATTAAGGCTTTTAAAGCATAAGAGAAAGCAAGTGGAAGTGTACAATAGAGATAAACTTCCAGACCTTGGGCATTAGTCCCTTGTGTGTTCCACCATGCTCTCTTAGAGAGGAATGGTTTATATTGTGCACTGAGTGTTAAACTTGTATGATGCATGATGAGAAAGAATTGAAAGTAGTTAGAGCACTTCCTTGGGTATTTATCCTTTGGGACAACCCTTGATAAGGTATTATGCATCTTCTTCAGAAATGCAATGGTTGGCCATACCAGAGAAAGAATAGAAAGAATAAAAGGAACTTCCCTTGGAAAGCCTTCAGGACTTCTTGGGGTATAGACACCTAAGAGCCACAGAGCAGAGCGGACATCTCTTGGAAGTTCCCTCAAAGAATATTATGTATGCATACTTGTTTTAATACTTTTGATGCAATAAAAGTGAACTATAAGGTAAAGTGATCCTCTAAGGACCTTTAGTTTACTGAAATTTTTTCTCACCTCGCGTTTTGGGGATATCATCTCAGGTACCTCTACTGATGGAGTAGGAGCATCACATGGCAAGAGGCCAGATATCGCATGACTGTAGCATATAATTTCTTATTACTATTTTGATATATGTATGTAATCAGATTTTATCAAAGTTTCCATGAGATGTATATTTTGAGGCCTATATGTTGGCCATGCACATTGAATAGCCCTTTATGCACATTTGACATAGAAGGATGTATAGGGTTATGTATTTTGAAGCTTCATCATGTATTTATGCAAGAGACTTTGTTAGGCATATGGACTATGTAGTTTCAATGAACAATTATGTATATGGAACTTATTTCATTCTTTATTGAGAATCATGTATGAAACTCTATTATGATGTTAAATGTAGCTTGAAGCCTTAACCAAGGAATCAATGAATGAATAATATGTTTAAGCTTGGCAATAGCTGAGTATACGCATGTACTATGAGAAAATGTCAATTAGGTTCAAGTTAGAGAGTTTATATGAAAAAAGGGTGGCCTTTAGACCCCAAACCGAAGTTGGCCAATGTATTTTTTGCCACTTTCATGAAATATCCTGATATTTCATGACCAATATCCAGATATCCCATATCCGGATATTCCCCAGATGAATATCCGCATATCTGGGCGAGACAACGAACATAGTGTAGTAAAACGACCATAGCTTGAGCTATAGAGCTCCAAATTGAATGAGGTTTGGACCTATATGAAGCTAACACATAAAGCTATAAATAACCCTGTAAAATTTTAGGGGCCATTGGTTAACTAGATTAATCCCAGTTTAATTTTGAAGTTGCTCCCATGTTTTCTGGAAGTTCGGTTGAAGCAGTTGGCTTGCAACGGACGTAGCTTGAGTTATACAGATCCAAACAAGGCTTATAATATGTCGTTGAATAGCCTAAGATGTCTAATTTAACATACTAAAGACAGGAATTAATGGTTACGTGGATTATTCCCAGTTTTATAAAACGTGAAGACTGTTCAGTGTTGAACATGAATAAAATGAGATTTAACTTTTTAGCCTTGTTGGTTTATGGGGACCACTTGTCATTTATGTAGAAACAATGTATGGCATATTTGAGTAAAGTTTAAATATCCGCACATTGTTTAAGTTATTATTACAGTTTTTGAATTGTTTTAATTACGGAAAGAGTTTTAATCAGAAAAGAAATTATTAACAGAAAAGAAAAGTTTATTTGTATTTTAATTCAATTGCTACAATTGTAACTGCTCTTAATGTCATACATAACGATAACAAACCGGTCATAAACGGGGTGTTACACCTTACCTTACATATATAAGCTAAGGGCAAAAGTGTTTGTCATTTTAAATGACACAAAGTTATGTCATTTTTAACGAAACTACGTCGTTTGAGTGTGTTTTTACATTCTCTCTCCTCCACTTTTTTTCTTCCTAATTTTATAAAAAATAGAAAATGACAAAACACACCAAAACGACGTAGTTTCATTAAAAATGACACAAAATCAAAGTTTTCAAGTGCGGTTTGCGGCATGTCGCGGCCAACCCTGAAAAATGCTATAGCGTTATAGCGGGTTGCGGTTGCGGAAATAGCGGGATAGATATATGACAGAAATAATGAAAAAAAGAAACATTTTTTAAAGGCAGAGATAACAAAAATGACAGAGAGAGACACAGATAGACTAAAAAACCTTTAAAAATTTTCTGTTACACATTTAAATTTGGGACAAAATTGACAGAAATATGGCCATGGTTTGGTCGCAAATGCGATCGCAATGGCCTCTATTGCATTCCGATGCGGAGCGACTCGGTTTCTTCTGACGAGGCATCGCAACGCCGATACAGCACGGCTCGCGGCGCAATTAACTACTGTACACAAAATTGTGTCATTTAAAATGACAAACACTTTCTCCATAAGCTAATCACATGGTTTGAGCCTATGACCTCCAAGTCATATGGCAAAGACTCTATTAACTATGATAAAGGGCAAATTCTGTTGCACAAAACTCTCAGACTTGCAAGGGTAGGGATGAGGGTTGATTATATATGGCTTTACTCTTACATTTTTGCAAAAAGGTTGCTCCCATGACAAATTTTGGTTGCACAAGCACAAATATGAGAATGAGACTGCCGGTTACTAGAAAAAGCAAACCCTAACTGATACAAAACCAGTCCACCTAAACAGTACAAAACCGTTAGACTAAGATGCTTGTGAAATGAAATCAAGTTAACTCCAACGCAATATTATAATAGTGATAATAATAAATAAAAAAGGGTTTAAGTTTTCTTATGTTGTAGGATTGTAGGAGAGAAAAAAAGTAGAGAGAAGTTAAATGTGGGTCCCATATTTTATATTAAAAAAGAAAGAAAAATTAATTGGCACGGAAAACGAATTTGTGTAGGAAAATAATGTAATCTCATGTGGCATGAGAGTATTATTTCTCAATAAAAAATAACAAAATTGCTTACCTGTCGTTTAGAAAAGCGATGCTAAGCGCAGTAAGAAAGGCAGCAACTATAGCAAGCGGCCTCCGAAGAAAACCCAAAACTACATCATACAACTCAAAATATGAGAATGTTGAGACAAGAAACCATATTTCAATAAGGAAAAATAAAAATTATATTCATAATGTTCACTTACTGAGAACAGAAACAATCAAAATGAAGTAGTTGGTACGATAGCTGCACATACAAAACATAATCAACATTACTTATTAAACCAAAAAAATAAAATTAGAAATTCTAATAACCAAATATTAATTACAAGCATTTAATGAAAATATTTGATAGAAAAAAAATGGAATGGTACTAGTAGAGGTTGCATTTGAGGCGGCCATTCCATTTGGAAGATGATCGAGGAAAGGTGAATCTGGAGAAGAATTCCGATAGAGGACGCGGCGGCGATGACCAATCCACTTCGCGGAGTGCGTCGATCAGATCCTCCGCTGTCACGTTTCCCCAATCCATTTCTGCGATTTTCTTTCCTCTCCTCGGTGATGGAAAACCCTAGCGAGAAAATTTGTTGCGGGAAAAAGGAAAATCGGAGAGAGATTGAAATTGTTTTTTTTTTTTTTTTTTTTTTTTACTAGGGTAGCTTGCTTTAGGGTGAGGGTGATTGAAATTTGAAGATGAAACTGAACACGATTTCTTTTTAGTAACGAAGAGATCGATTGTTGTGATCAGTAACGAATGAAAGTGAAAGCTGTGTGTTTTTATTGCAATACACTTTGGACAACAGACACAAGTTTTAGTTGTCACTTGTCACCCCAAAAATAAAAAATAAAAAGGAAGAAAGAAAAAGTCACACCCACACTTAATTAATGGATTTTTTTTATTGGCATTGAATTTCAACTCATGATCTTACATAAATTTTTGAATAATTCATCGTTAAATCAATTCTAATAGTACAATTTGTTATGATCCTACTTTAAGACATGGGATTTAGAGTCCTACATCCAAGGTTTGATATGAGGTTTATTTGGATTTTGAACTCTCTTATCGGCTAGCTTTTGAGGTGATATTCTTCCAATATTCAATTCATAATTTTTATAGATTTTTTAAACTTTTATAAGTGAGACTACTCATTAATAGAGGAGGGTTGTAACTTGTGAGTCTACTAGATCATATTGGTAACTTATAATGAGATGTTTGATTAGAGGGATATGTTAATATACTTACTTTTTTTTATGTTTATATTGTCTATCACTTTCCAATGTCATTAAATCATAATCTCAAGAAATAATAAAGATTAGTTGAGATTTTGATCTAACAGCATTGGAAAGAGATAGACAATATAGACATGAAAAAATGTTAAGTAGAATAATATATCCCTTGATTAGCAATATCTATATTATTGTGGGATTGAAAAGTTGTGCTTTTATTAAGGTAATAGATTTTTTTTTACTCCTTAGTTATTGCAATTTCAAATAGTAAATTAATGGTGACAATTTTAATAAATTTAAAAAATAAAATTTTGTTTGTATGTTTGAATGGGGTAGTAGGAAAGTTTAGGCTAATGTATAATATATTTTGAAGGAATTGAAAATGTGTAGTAACAATATTATATATATGGAAAAAAATATTTCTACAGTCACTTTAGATAAGATTATCTACATCTATCCCAAAAACTACGTCGTTTTGATTAATGTAGAGTGTTTCTGTAATTTTAGGTGAATTAATGAAGGGTGTTTCAGTAAAATGTATATGATAAAAAAATAAACAAAATTACGGAAACACCCTTCATTAATTCACCTAAAATTACAAAAACACCCTTCATTAATCAAAACGACATAGTTTTTGGGGTAGCTGTAGATAACCTTATCTAAAGTGGTCGTAGAAATGTTTACCCTTATATATATATATATATATATATATATATATATATATATATATATATATATATATTATTAGGGATAGAATTCTTTGACATCTCATCTAAATTGTTGATTTTCTCCAATCCAGCGATAGTAATTTATTGAGAATTAATAATTAATTAATGTATGTAACCCAACGAATTATAGCCGTCAAATTGAAAAAAAAATTAATATAAGAAATTATAATGTTTAGAGAGCATGTATAGGTTTCTATCACCTATGTAGGTAATCGATTATCCATTAGGTGGTAATCAATTACTGCACTAGGTAATCGATTACTACCATAATGGTAATCGATTACCATGCCACGAGAATCACTTGACAATAGCTTCTACATCTCCCATGTTCTAAGGTAATCGATTACCTTCAGGGTGTGTTTGGTACAGGAGAAATTTTTTGGTGACCGGGAATCATGATTAATGGGAATTCAGTAGAAATTGAGTTTACTTGGAATCTTACGAAAGATGTGTTTGGTTCGCCAAAATATTACCGGGAATACTGGGTAAAAATTACTGATTCCATATTTGGTTTAGAACGAAATATGACTTGGAATATGAGGTTATTTTACAAAAATAACCCCAAACTATTTTTACTTTTGTAATTGATAGATTGGGTCTAGATTTTTATGTGTATTGGGGTATTTTTGTCTCAAAATTTATTGTTGTGCTTTCCCTTTACTTGGTATTCTGATTGGTATTCCGAATTACCATATTATTTTTGGTAATCTGAATAGTGACTTTTCTTTATAAATCAAATTACCGGTAATTCTTGGATATCCGGGAATCGTAATTTATTCCTTCTACCAAACGTGGTAATTACATTTACCAAAGAAGGATTACCGGTAATCCTCTCCAAAAACTTGAACCAAACACCCCCTCATGGTAGTAATTGATTACCACCCTTGAGGTAATGATTACCAGCTCAAATAGAAGCTGGAAATTGCTTTCCGTGTTTCAGGTAATCGATTATCTCACTGCAGAAATTAAGAAACACATGTTTTACAACCATGGGTGCATGGTATTACCTGTTAGGCTTTGTAAATTAATGTAAACGGTTCCGAATAGAGTATGATTAACAGTTAAAGTATTTGAAAATAGGTTACAAAAATTTATTATTGGTTATAATAAAAGAAAAAGTTTATCCGTAATTCTAAATTTAATTACTGTAATTGTAACTGCGCACTAATATCATATGTGATATTAATAAATCAATCTAATAACGGGGTGTCACATTAAGAAGTTATGTGCTCTATGTGCTAAGCGATAGTAGCCTTAACTGGAGGCCATATGTGCCATATATGCTCCACTTGTAAAAACCTATCCAAATATTTCAAATCAAATTTTTGAATTACATCAAGACTTCTCCTTGAAAAATATGGTTTCTACATTGTTGTTGAGTGGGAAAAAAAGGAAAAAAAATAACTGTTTAGAGAGTTAGTGGGAAAAATTTTTAACCAATGGCTTGAGAGCTTGAATCCTTAAAGGAGCATTTGGTAGAGAAGAATTTTTTTGGTGCCTGGGAATTATGATTATCAAGAATATGATAGAAAAGTGAATTACTCGGGAATGTTATAAAAAAGTTGTTTGGCATACGAAAATATTACTGGGATTTTTTGGTTAAGTTTATTGAGTCTTTGTTTGGTTGATTGTGAAATATTAGTGGGAATGTGGGGTTATTTTAAAAATATCCCCACCTTTACTTTAAAGGGAAAGCCCTTATTTGCCCTGAACCTCTTTAAACAAGTGCAATTATCACCATGTATGTCGTTGCATCTATAGAAGAAAAAAGACACGAAAAGTCAGAAATTCTGCATCAATTCAAGGTGAAAAATGAGGTAGCTCCCCTGGACCGGGATTTGAAACGTTAATCATGATATAAGTTATTTCAAAGCTCGGGATTTTAGTCAGTGATAGACAGCTTGGCTAGCTATCCTCTCCTTGATTATTTGATTAAACCCTGTTGATCTTCAATCTATCGCTTGTTCTCCTTGCGAGGTGGAACCACACTATACTTTACTTCCAATGGGCTATTTACATATAAGACGAAAGGTTTGTAGAAGGGGCTTCTTCTAATATCCCAACAAAAGAAAGTAGGGGCTTCAAAGCTAGCTTGTAGTTTACGGCTGCGCGCGGATTGGACATGGACGAGCCTCGACTGGGCCAGCATTGATGAAAAAAGTATATTTTCATCATCCGTCCTGTGGGAGCGAGAAGTTTGGGATATGTTTGGTGGTTCTTCCATCAATCATCCAGATCTACGTCGTATATCAACAGATTATGGTTTCGAGGGTCTTTGCCCCGGCTCTTCGGCATCTACCATCTGCAGTCAGATCGTCTTCTCCCAGACGCCTTTCAACTTCCTTCCGTCAAAGAGAAAGCAATTTTACTTATGAAGAAATTGTTGGAATTTATATTTATAAATTGTGTAGACAATATATTGGTTATGAATAAGAAGTTTGGTAGTGAAAATGTGTGTCTTTTCGTCGACAAACAGATGTATCTTTTCATCCTGAAGGATGTGTTGTTTCATCCTAACGGACGTGTTGTTTCATCCTTGAATGGGTGTCTTTTCGTGTTGAACGAATGTGTCTTTTCGTGTCCAACAGATGTGTTGTTTCGTCGTCGAATAGGTGCCTTTTGAAACGTGACATTACGTTTTCTATAAATAGACACTGACCCCTTCAGAAAATGATTTCAGTTTTTTGCACTGTTACTCTGCCAGATTTTTTCCTTCATCCGGTTTTGCATACTTCCTTCTATTTTTTCTGGTTTAATTCCTCAGGCATATTGTTGTGTTCGTTTGGGTTGTTGACTGGTAGTGCCACCATTCTTCAGACGAAATTCGTTCTATCCTGGGAGACAAGTGTCCATCAACCTTTGGCTTCAGTGAGGGGACAAATTGTCTTAAGGAGACACGTTCTGTGGGCTCGAATTTTTATTCCTCTGATATCATCATCTGTCTGTTTCATCATTCTGTCTCAATTATCTGACAAGTAAGTCTGTTCTTTAATACTTTATAATTGCACAGTGATAATTCTGATTATCTATCTCTTCTGGTTGATACATGGATTCAAGTCTCTTAGTGATTTAATATCACCCACTGTCTTCAATAACAGAAATAAGTCAGAAGGATGTCGATGATATTCTCTGATGAAGAAATGAAGACAACATTCTGAAGAGGAAGGACACATTTGTCCGAAAAATTGTGTCCAAATTCCTACATTCGGTAAACGAAAAATACCACCCCTTTGTTGGTATTTTGAGAAGGAAAAATGGCTCACAATTTGTACATATCATAAAATCCAGGGCAAATTAAATGGTCGGACAAATATTGTGAAAACTCCTATCAAATATAGATATATATGAATCCCACATTCACTTTCCTCTCATTGTAAAAAAAATTACTCCTACTAAATAGCCCCATGAGAAAGTTCATTAATATTAGTGGTCTTGGTTCGTTCGAAGCAAGAGCTCTTCAGTCTTGTCTCATTTAATTTTACAGTATAATATTAATATAGGCCACCATTCGACTAGTTTTGACCAACAAAATTATCCACCAATAATAATCTAAATATAGAAAAATTCTTAAACCTATTACAAATCACCTTATGTGATCATTTTAGTCAAAGATTTTTTTTTTTCAAAATAAATAAATAATCTTTTTTTTCTTCTGACAAACTAGTATATACCTTTGGCTGGTAGCATCCAATTAAGCCATTTATTAACATAATTAACACTTTTCAAAATGTAAAACAGTTTATATTTGTTGTAGATTGAATCCGGTTTGAACTTTCTTTT